ACCCGATGTGCAAAAAGTGCAAGTGTCGGACGACTCGTTATTTCGGGTAGAAAAAGTCTTGAAACGCCAAGGACGCAACGTGTTGATACGGTGGAAAGGGTGGCCAGCCACGTACGATAGTTGGATTCCAGCGCAACCCAGGCATGGTACGAATAAGAATAACGCCCCGTAAAAAAGCGCCCCGTAAAAAGCGGGTCACGTGGTTGGACCAGATCCAGGCCGAAGCCAGCCGACCGCGGGCCAGTTACACGCCACCCCCGGCAGACGATGCGAGTATCATGAAGTTCATCCACAAGAAAGCCGCCGAACAACGACGAGCGAAAGTCAACAGGATGGCGGGGGTCGCCTTTGGTCAACAAGCCCTCCGTTCTTACACGGCGGCCCAAAAGAAACAACGCCGACGCGCCAGTCGTCATCCGCCCATGCGCAAGAAGAAACCCGCCAAACAAAAAACCTGCCTGACCCTGATGGAACTGGCACGGGCCTTTCCCAACATTGCGCAGCAAGTGTGTTTTCATCCCAAACAATCGACCTTTAATTCCTTGGTCGGACGGGTCCCTCGCAGCAAACAGAAAGTGGTCCAGTGGCTATAAAAGGACCCCGCACATCCTCCGAAGAGCAACATCCTCATCGTGAGTGACAACCAACGCTTGACGCTCATCAGCTATCCGCCCAACGAGTTTCCCCAAAATGCCAACAACAGTTTCAAGGTACGACTGCCCGAACGTCTCACCTTACCGGGCGAGGGTTGGCATGCCTCGTTGATGTCCCTGACCGTCCCGGATCAAGGACAGAGCAATGCCGTCATCGCCACAGATCCTCATACCAAAGTCGTGACCTTCAGCGTGACATACTTGACGCGCAAATATATCCTGGGGGAGTATCGACGGGTCAGTTTCCAGACCAAGGAGTATACGGTGGAATTGGAAGATATCATGAGTGCCAAACATCCTGTGACCTCGGGTAGCCTGTTTTGGAAACGAGCGATGCAAGAAGTGCACAACAAGACCATGCAGGCACTGATGTACGAACAAGATTATGCCAAGACCTATGATGCGGATGAACGACCCCTGGTCAGTGTGAAAAAGAACTGGATGCCCATGATGACCTGGAAATACGATGCCCTGATTTTGCATGCAGTGCCTAAAGGAGACTTGATGAACGGCAACAAGACCAAAGCCACGAGCGCCTTTTCCCTGGATCTGGGTGTGGCGGAAAAGTTTGGCTTCATCGAGAAACCCAAAGGTTGGGCAAATTATACATTGGGTCCCAATCTCCAATTCACTTGCCCCGCCAACACCTTTGATAGCCAAAAACCCCCCAAGGATCCCTGCAATCGAACGAACTATTATTGGGAAGGAGCGCATTATGCCAGGACGCAACCCTCCGATTTGTCCAAGGATGCCATGGATATCATGTATCTAGTGAACAATAAGCGGCTTCATCTGTCCAGAATGGTGGAATGGCAGTTTAACAACCTCAATGCCTCCTTTGAAAAGTTGGTGGGGACCAGCATGGTGTATTCGGATGTGGTGGAATCCACCGTGGTGGGGAGTGGCAAGTTTCCCCTGTTGCGGGAAGTGAAATTGTTGAGAACCGGCGAGGGAGAAAGTACGGTGGAACCCCTGCACCACCAATGGATCAAAGTGCGAGGCCATCAATTGGAGATTGTGGAATTGGAGATTCCTAGTACCAGTGGACCCCTGGCTATCTTACCCCTTGGCAAAACCCTGGTGACCATTGGCCTCAAACAGCTATAAAAACCACCACGCACCCCTGGGTCGAGAACACACCAACGTGAGCCGAGATGCGAGGAGGGAGTTTGACGCGTTACCACACGCCGGTGGTCACGACTCAAGAAGGCAAAGGGTTGGCCGAAGAGTTAATCAAACTCGCTGGGTCCCTGATGGTGCAGCAAGCCCAAGCGGGACTGCAAGATATTCAACGAGGACAGAATTTGGCCGACACCTGGTCCCATCGAGGCGAGCAACTCACCCGCGGGTTGAAACGCAAAGCCCCCGCCCTAGCCTGAACGGTCGGCAAACACAAGGCCAAACGCACCGCCCAAAATACCTTTAAAAGAGCCACCCAACGCGTACGGGATATCTTTGGACTGTAAAAACAACATGGTACGCATTGGCGGCTTTCTCAAAACCCAAAATCGCATTCGACGGCAACGCACCCGCGGGCGGTTCATCTCGCCGTATTAAGTAGAGGGCACGTTTTTTGGCAAGTCCACCATGGCGCGCTATCCCTTGATACACACGTCCTCCCGACTGTTGGAGCCCTGGAGGCTGACCCATTTGAAACAACGCCGCCGCCGACGGATGAAAGGGGGCACGCTTTTTGGCAAGTCGACACGCATGCGAATGCGTAATCCCTTGATGTTTCTGTCTGCGTCCCGGGTGAACCCCGAGCCCTGGTTGATGGAGATGGTCCGACGCCGACACGGTATAAAAAGGATACGCTGTTAAACGTCGTGGACAGTCAGCATCATGTCGCTCAATTTGTTTGATGTGCCCTAGGTGGATTACCGGTACGAAGCGTCCCGGGACGTGCTGTTTCAACCAGCCTTGACGGCCATACAACCCATCACGTTTTCCATCCCGGCCTCGGACGATTATTACGATCTCAACGAACTCCGGTCTCAAGTCAAAGTGCGCCTGACGGATCCGGCGGCTGGGTATCAAGGATTGAAAGCCAATTTGGCCAACTCCGATGCCAACAATCCATCTTTCGAGATATGACCCTGAGCATGAATGGCGTCCTCATGACCGAAGAGAGCAACACCTACCATTACAGAGTCTACCTAGAAACCCTCCTGAATTACAGCCGAGACGAAGGAGCCACCAAGTTAGCCCCGCAAGGTTGGGTCAATCAACTCAATGTGATTGAAGAAATGGGAGCCACAGGGGCCAATTTCGATACACCCACCAACGCGAACTGGAGTGGCGATGCAGAATTGCGTGCCTTGACCAGCCGGTTGTTAGACCAGAATTGGCACACCTTCATCATCCGCCCCCATTTGCCACCCCTCAAGACGGGTAAATGTTTGGTGCCTGGTGTCTAGTTGAACTTTGAACTATTCCTGAACCCCAACACTGTGTACTTGATGGGCACCCCTAACAAAGGGACCTTGAACGACACGAAATTTCCTGACATTCACAATGAAGACATCAAAGTCACCTTGCTGATGAGAAAAGTGACCTTGAATGCCAGTGTCTATGTCCGACTGCAAAAAGAAAGACAACTGGGCAAAAAGATTGTGCGCTACCCTGTGGCTGGAAGTGAAATCCGCACGTTTTCCTTCGATGGCCAAACCACCCAGTATGAACAAGACAATGTGATTGTCGGCCGATTTCCCGATCGAGCCATGGTGGGTTGCTGCATTCAAATGCCTTCAATGGAGACCTAGAAAGAAACCCCTATGCCTTTCAAAAGTTTGGAGTCACCCAGGTACGACAGAGTTTGAATGGAGAAGAATATCCTTACAGAACCCTACAATTGACTGGAAAGGAAGCCTATGAAGATCTGCTGGGCCACGATAGGTTCTACAAGCCATAGGTGCCTATAATGAAAACAAGATTCCCATGCTGCTGCCTAGTGATTGGGGACAGGGGAAGAACTGCACGTTGTTCCCGTTCAACAATGTGCCCAGTGGCAAAGCCGATGACCCCCAGTATCGCAACCCTCGTCAATCGGGCAATGTGCGACTGGTGATTAATTTCGCAGCCGCGGTCAATCACAACATCACCGTGTTGGTGTGGAGCGAGTATGAAAACGTGTATGAGATCAATCATCTGGGAGGTATAAAGTACAACATCAACGGCTGATTCAGCCTCAGATGTCAGAAGACGCCGGCCATGGAGTTTGTGGCGCTCAGCGATACCGTGTTGTGGGCCTTGGCCCTGGACGATCCTCAATTACGGCGTGTTTCAAGGCGTGTATCCTGCCGACTAGTTACCCCGATCACCCACCATGAGTGTCCGTGCAGCGTACATTGTCAACACGGATCCTGCGGGAGAACCGGGACAACATTGGTTGGGGCTGTGGACGGAACAAAACAAGTGCGAGATCTTTGACAGTTACGGTCTACCCGTGCACGTGTACACCAGCCCGGAGTTGTATCAGTGGTGGCGTCAATGGAAGTACCTGACCCGCAGTGACATCACCCCGCAAGCCATGGATAGTCAAACCTGTGGCCATTATGCCTTATTTTTCCTGAAAGCCCGAGCGCAAGGACAGATCTATCAGGATTTTTTAGGCCGTTGGAGTTGCGACAATTTAGTGTTGAATGATCATAAAGTGGCGAACAGTTGAAACGCGTGATTAAACAGGAATTACAAGATGAAGTAGATGCCCGACCCGATGGGCAAAAGAATGTGAGCCGCCAGACCTTTATGCTTTATAATCATTGTGATCATTATGTCAAATAAAACAAGAAACAAAAGTACCCTTGTGTGTTGAAGGCATAAAAAGACGCGTCGGGTCGCTGGGGGGTGTCATTTGGTTTATCATCATGATTACCCGCGACGATGTGCAGCGCGTGATTGATGCGTTTATTCTAGAAGAAACCCTGTATTGGTGGTTGCACCCGATTGAACGGGTCAACACGGTCCGAGGCATCAATGCTTGGGATGGGTATCATTGGTTGTTGGCCCGCCAACTGGCGCAAGACCAAGACTGGGTGTCCCTTAAAACCTACATGGACACCATGAGTGAAACGTATTTAAGAGAGACCATGGAAGGTCTCATTCAGTTCGAGTCCCCACGATTATACCACGAATATTGGACGGCATGCCCAGCCGCAGAAGAAGAAGACGACGCTCCTCCTCCCAACAAGGACGACCCCGCTTTCGCCAAAACGGGCGCGGGATCATGAGTGTGTTGGCCAAAGCGACCAAAATCGGTTATAAATTGGGATGCGATAAACGGTATAAACGAATGGGAGCCAAAGGGGCCACGGGCCATTACAGACGTCTGCCTCGACCGTGGGAACGATGATCCGACAACCCAGTAGTGTGATTGTGGCTGGCCCGTCGGGCAGCGGCAAGAGCAAATTGGTTGAACAATGGTTACGGTACCTCAACGTGTTTCAAGTCAAACCGAAAAAGATCGTCTATGCGTACGACCGATGGCAGCCCCGGTTCGACCGTATGCAAAAAAGAGATGGCATTCAGTTTCATCGCGGGTTACCGGACCCCGGTCATTTTACCAAATGGTTTGGTCCGACACGCGGAGGAGTCTTGGTCTTGGACGATCTGATGGAAGAAGGGGGACAGGAGAAACGCGAGTTGGATTTGTTCACTAAAGATTCCCATCATCGCAACATCACCGTGCTGTATTTGACGCAAGATTTATTCCCCCCTGGCAAATTCTCCACGACAATCAATTTCAATGCCCATTACATCGTGGCGTTCAAAAACCCCTGGGATCAAACGGGCATACGCACCATTTTACTGCAAGCCTTTCCCGACCGATGGCGTCAAGTCTTACGCCTATTTAAACACGTCACGTCGCGCCCCTTTGGCTATTTGATTTTGGATGTGCATCCTGTCTCGGATGATCGCTACCGATTGTGGAGTCATTTAACGCCCCGAGAAGGCAGAGCGCAAGTCCACACCGTGCCTGTGGATGTCCCTGCCGTTCGAAAACGCGCTGCAACGAGAACGCGAACGTCAACGTCGGCAAAGAGAAGGCGGACAACATACTGACTTATCGGCCCGCATGGACACCCCGACCCTCTCGCCCGCCGGCGTGGGCTCCCCCACGGCACCACCTTCCTCCGTGGATCTCAGCAGCATGACGGACATGGTGACCGAATTGACCCGACCGGTCGATCGAGCCCAATTGGATCAAGAGATTGAGGATTTCAGTCTGACCTACCCAGTCAATGTGGACGATGCGGTGAATCTCTTCAGTCTATCGCCTGTGGTAGGCACCGGCACCGCCCCAACGACCACCACGGCACCTCCCATCACCACCGCTACTCAAACCCGACCCGTCACGTCCACCCGAACACGCCCTACGACCACCATCAGCCGACCTCGACCCATTATGTCCACCCGAACACGTCCTGTCACCACCGCCCCAACGCGCCCCCTCACCGCTCGCCCTAGCGCGGGTGCAGGGACAAGGACCACCACCTCGGCGGTGACGACCCCCAGTGGACGTCCCAGACTCGCCGCCAAACAACCGCGACGACGTCCCCGGATGCCCTCTCCCCCCTCGCCCGATTCTTCCCCTCCTCCGTCAGATGACGATGGTGATGATGACGACGAGGATCGACGGCGGGGATTAAGGCGACGGTTGGATTTGCTGAATGAAGATGCTCAACAACGTGCTCGAGGCAGGCGTATTCGAAATATTACGCATACCAATACAGTGACCACGGTCTACGAAGAAGGGGGAAGGCGACCTTCTGTGCGCCGCACTTCCACCCGAACGTCCAGCCCAAGTCCGCCACCATCACCACCACCACCACGCCGAGGACGTGGCCGTGGCCGTGGACGTGGACGTGGTCGACGCCCGTGAAAAAAAGATATAAAAACAGCTTCCTCTATCCAACCGTCCTAGTACCATCTGTGGCCGATGTGGAAGCGCTATGGCCCCTAAACGCAAACGCACCACGACCCGACGTCGCAAACCCGCCAAACGACAACGGCGTATGACCTATGGTCAAGTAGGGGGTGTCTCGCCGGGTCTCATTGTAGGGATTGGAAAAGCCGGCTATGGGATCACCAAAGCCTTGGGGGATCATCAAACCAAGCGAGCCATCAAAATTGCCGAAAAACGCCGACGTGAAGTGGAACAAGGCAAACGAAAACGCTATGCGAGTGAATCGTTCAATTGTTCTATCATGTGAAAACGTATAAAAAGACCTTCGTGGGCCTGGACAAGGGTTAGTTGGAAGATGGTCCGTGGACCCAATGGACGCCGACATCGGTATGTCCCCCGAATACGACGCCAGCGACATGTATTGCAACGTGGAGGCGTGCTACCCATGTTGGCGATGGCTCTTTCGCCTTGGGCGTTCAAGAAGAAACGCCAACGGCGGGCGCGCTTATGTTAACGTGACCTATCCCAAGAAAAAAAAAAAAAGCCGTCACGTTTGCTCTGGACTGGGACGAATGGTATGAAACGGCCCTGTGTCCACGGTGTCGAGATCACATGAAAAGCATTATCATGGCGAACTGTGTGGCAGGTGTGGGGCGATTTTAACCATAAATAGACCTTGGTCGTTGCCTGAACTCACGATCCATCATAGAGTGGCGCATGGAACGTCAAGCCCCGTTCTTGAAAAGCGTCTTACAAGAAGCGAATCAGCATAAACGACAAGAATTGTTACGGATGGCCAATGCGGATTAAATCAATGTCATCAGTGAATTGGTCATGAACACGCTCCGTGGCACGGTGCCCCGTTCTCGACACATGATTACGTTGCTCAAACCCCATGCGCAGAGCTTACGCGCCATGGCCAAACCCGCGCATTCGGTCAAA